GCTGTGACAGCCGATCCTGGATACGCTATAGTCGAAACACCTGTAAATTTACTATATCTACCTGTTATACCGAAACAAGAAATAACCAACATCACAGTGTTGGCTTTAGATCAAGACGGTCGTCCTGTAAACTTTCAAGGTGAAACTAGTACTCTTGTGTTGGAGTTGAGAGCGAAGCGCAGATGGGATTAGTGATTATAAGACATAGTGGTGCTTCCAAGGCAACTTCAGTATTACCCCAAGCACCTAAGCGACGACATCTACTACTAACTACATCAAATATCCTGTTTCTACGCTCACTTGGATATCATGTCAACAACAACAAGAATCATGTACAAAAAGAGAAAAACTGAGGAGGCAGCAGCAGCAGCATCACATACTTCTCCGATGTTTGATCTATATCGATCTCCAGCATTCGATGAATCTATTCGCAAGGCTGAGTATAGATCTTATACGCCGTTCATCAAGTCATTTAATTGTAATGATGTTGTGGAATTTAGCATCAATCAAGTAGATTCGTTCTTTGCAATGAACGCTTCCCTTCTATCTATCAAAGGAAAAGTTGAAATAACTGGAGGAGGAGGAGCAGGAGATGTATCTTTAGCTCCAAACTTTGGTGCCTTCCTATTTGACTCTTGCACTTACAGTGAATCCGCTAGAGAAGTTGAAACAGTACGTGATCCTGGTATTGTAAGTACTGTCCGAGCTTACGTATGTTACAGTGAGGAAGACTCAAATCATATGGCTATAGCTGGATGGAACTATCCTTCAACACCTATAATGGCGTCAACACATAACAAGTCTTTTAGCTTGCTAATGCCGCTTAAACATATTTTCAACATTTTCAATGATTATCCTATGATTACGTGTGGCAGACAAACTCTCAGATTTGTGAGAGCTAGAAACGATAACGATTGTATCATTATCAAGGAAAAAACTGGAACGACGACGACAGCGAAAATAACTATTGAAAGCATGGAACTGAAAATCAAACATATTTACCCGAGTGATGATGTGAAAGAACAACTTTTGAAAGCTATTCAAACTGATAAGCCGATACTTATACCGTTTAGAAAATGGGATCTGAATGAACTGCCTGCAATTACCGCAGATGCGAGAAGAGAAATATGGTCAGTTAAAACTAGCACCGCAATCGAAAGACCACGTTTCATTATAGTATGTTTCCAAACCGGTAAACGTGACGTCGCAACCTCAGACCCTACCCTGTTTGATCACGTGAATGCTGCTAGTATTCGAGTATCTTTAAATGGTGAATACTATCCCAACGAACGTATGCAATTGGACTTTGCAAACAATCACTTTACTGAAGCTCATTTCAACTATAGCGACTTTCAAACCAGCTATACAACTTCTTCTTCTCCTCTGAAGAGATGTCTTTTAGATTATACCGCTTTTAAAAATCGCGCTTTGTTTGTTATTGACTGTTCCAAACAAGAGGAAACCATGAAATCATCAACTGTTGATGTTAGATTGGATATCGAAGCCGATACTGGCTTTCCAACCAACACCAAGGCCTACTGCATCATTATACATGACTGCTTAATCGAGTACTTCCCCCTCACCGAAGTTATTAAAACCATCTCGTAAGCAACGAAGGACTCTCAGTTCCGCATCAGACATCATGAGGATCGCGTTTGTTGACATTCAAGGCTTTACAGTTGACGGATTATTCGTACCTAAAGAACTATGTATCGAAATTGGTTTCAAGAAAAGTCATTACATCTTTACACCTCCGCAACCTTTTTCTACATTAAATACTAAAGACAAGAAAACTGTCGCTTACTTGGAGAAGAATTTCCATGGGCTTAAATATTCTTCCGGCGACGTTAAATATTCCAAGTTAAATGAAATAATTAAAAATAAGGTGATATATGCGGCTGACTATGTCTACGTTCGTGGAGAACAGAAAGCAAACTTTTTACTCAAGAAATGTCACATTTTTGGTGTTTTTCCCAACATTATTGATGTTTGCAAGTATGATGGTACACCGTGTGCTACTGGAAACTTTGTTGCTGATTCCAATCCATGCCACACCAACGGACATTTTCCTGTACCCAGAGAAATGTTGAACGTCTACGCCACTGGTTTTCAAATATCATATTACCTATGTAGTTTTTTCTATTTTCAATAAAATATTAAACGTATTATTGTAGTTTTATTGAAAATACCTCTGGTTTGCGAAATAATTGTCAGAATGTCTATACTATTTTCATTTTGAACGGTATCATCCTGTATAATAATAACAGTACATCGTATACAGGTTATGAGACATTCTGACCGACCGACCGACCGACCAGAGGAGCCCACCACGCTATTTAGGTCACGCCTTGCTATATACGATTTAACGATATACCGTCGGTCCATCGATCCGCTATTTTTCGTTGCACCCCTGTATACACGTTGCCCCCCGTAATCCACGCCAACACCAGACAGGTGCGACATCGGCGCCATCTATGCGCGAGATGCCCAACCCATCAATGGCAGCTGTCCAATGACGCATAGATTCCGTTAGGTTTGTACAGCGCCAAACAAATCGGCGCCATCTATGCGCGAGATGCCCAACCCATCAATGACAGGTGTCCAATGACGTATGACACCAAACAAATCGGCGCCATCTATGCGCGAGATGCCCAACCCATCAATGACAGGTGTCCAATGACGTATGACAGATGACGTGTAACGCCATCTATGCGTGAGATGCCCAATGACGCATGACAGGTGTCCAATGACACACAGATTCCGTTTGGTTTGACAGCGCCATCTAGCGGCGGAATCCCCAACTCATGAATTTCGATTACAGATTCCGTCCAACAACCTGTCAATGGCGCGCGACGCCAGCGCCTCTGGTGGCGGATTTTGGAAGTTTTGAGACCGAATCCCCATAAGACATCTACTCAAAAGGGAAATAATTACAGTTTATTTAACTAAATGGTCATGATAAATTTTTCTAGTTACATTGTGGTTTAAGAAAATGAGACTTCTGGACGGTCCATTTTAAAATTATTGATTATTGATCATGAACTTATATAGTATAGATATTAGATTACTGATATATCTTGCAGCCTTTTGACTTTCCGATGTAAAATGGTTATTATACTACAATTCTATTAAGTAGTTAACTAATTGCAGGTCAGCAACGAAGGCTATAAATCTTGCACATTTAAATATCCTGTTAAGTTTTTTCTTGTCGGTATCAGTGCGAAAACATAATTATCCATAAAACTTTACCGTGCTGTTATCTCGGCGAAACCATCTTTACTAGTGTTTTTCGGACCGGTACGGAAGCCTAACTGTTCTGCCACCTACACAATTGAGTACGAGGCTGACAAAGATCTCCACTTCCGTAAATAGCTGAGTGTTTATTTAAAACACTAGCGAACCATTATTCTGAATGCAAATTAACTGCACCATAAAATGATCTGAGACAGAACCAAAACGTTTTAATACAAAACGAGCCATGCTGATACTATTCGTCATTTGTTTGTCTGGGCGGTCTGTTGGACCTTTTCCTATTTGTCACTGTCTAATGTATGTTAGTCGAATCTGTCAGTTCTGGTTGTCCAGGAAACCAGAAAATCTCAAGGAAAAAAGAAAGGGAAAGAGAAGAAAAAAGGAGAAGAACAAAGAAAAACAAAAGTGTATTAGTTTAAGAGGAAACACCTCGGCGTTTTGACTTGGTACACGGATTAATTTTGAGTTGAACCAGAAACAAATTTTGACTCAGGTTTCATTAAAGTGTAATTTTGGATTCACTAAAAGTTCGCGCTAATTTTTTGATCACAGTGCGAGTCGTGGTCTTGAATATTTACGGACTTGCTCCACTGTGTAGTCATGCGCTGATCTACAAGTATAAAATATATTGACAGAAGCCACAGAACATGATGGCGACATGTACAGCTCAATGAAACAAATAAATCCTTGGCATAAAAGAGTTCTAAATTCAGTACTTACAAATTTATCTGAACATGCCAAAACTTTAATAGATACCATATACCTCCGGCACTATTGAACCGATTTTGCTTAGATTTTATACAATAACCTAGGGATAATGTAAAACTAGACGGACGGTTAGAAAACTCAGAGCCGGACTCGATTTTTTTCACTTTCTTGTTTTCTATCAAAATAACATTTCGGGTTGGATATTGAAATCTCTGAATATCTACAAAAAAGCCACTGAATGGTACTAATTAAGTAGCAAAATAGATTGATTGTGCCTATTTTAGATTTTTTGTAAAACAATATTTATGCAAATATCTTATTTTTAGCAGTTTATGCGACACGAAATTCATACATTTCAAGCATTATCAAATAGAGCTTAAAACTGAACTAAAGGTGATTTGGGAACTAAAAGTTTTCTTAATTTCCTTGTACCCTATCAAGTGAACGTTCTGTATGTTATACTTTGAATTTATGATTATTTCGCATGAAAAAGAGATACAAGAGATATAAATCAACGTGAAAATTAATATTATGCACCTTATTTGGTTTTTGCAGTAATTTTTTAATGTTCTAATTCTACTAACTGATGTTATACCTACAAGAGTCATGCTTTAAAGTAAAACGGCATTTAATATTCAAATGCACTGAATTTGATTCTCCAGATCAATTTGAGAATGTAATAAAAATGTAGGAAAACCAGGTCTCGAGCTCAGTACTTTCAGCATATTTACGTTTACGTGCTCTCACCACAACCCTACGTTAAATCCAATTAATACATACATGGTACATCACACAATTAAACACCAAAGTCCAGACCTGCATCCTATGCTTTTTTGGATTTTTTACTTAATTTCAAGTCGGTCTGGAGGGTAAAATTTAGTGGAATTGCATAAGACATGCTGCTTCCCTTTTTAACAGCTCGTGTTGTACAGTATCAATTGGTAGAATTAAACCATTAAAAAAATAACCGAATAAAGTAAAGAGGGTGCATATCATTATTTTTTTTAATTAACAGCCTGTATAAAAGTACGAACTACTATCTATGCCTTACCTTCTTCTACTTTGCTTTTCCTCAGTGGCATTACCTCCTTAGGAGCTACCGTAGTTGTGGAAACAGTGAACGTTGTCTTCTCATTAAACACAGCGGTCTTTAGGACATCTGTTTCTGGTTCTAGCCTCCTAAAAATAAACAAAAGAGTGAAAATCTTGCTCATTTGAATCAAACTCAGAAAATAAAAGAAAATATTTGTTGTTTGAATAGGTCAGGCAGTTAAGTTCTTAACTACGAGTATATGGTCACGTGAGGCCCGTGCCCAAAACCTCAACCTGATGTTGGCCCCAAATGTCCAAACATCAAATGTCATTTGCTATGCTAATGCTTCTAGTGTGCTCAGAAACAATAATAATTTAGCTTTGACGGTTTTCCAGTACGACTGTTATAGAAAAGCGTAGAGACCCAATTTTCTAGAAAAACGCGGCATCAAGTTGGTTGACCTCCCATGCAACGCTATCATCAGTTCATAAAGGATCATGTTTGACACAAATTAGACCTTCTACAATTAGTCCTTAAACACCTTTTTCCTGCCCTACCGATAATACCGTCCATCTCACAACGTCGTCCCGCACATATGTACCTCGTTAGTCAATGATTCACTCGTCAGTCTCGGCAGCGTGGCAGTGACAGAATGACACTCATGGTGGAAACTGTGACGCCACCCAATCCGTAGAGAGGCGCATATCGAAGATATTTCTCCTCATTCAAGTTTAAATGGGAAATAATAATGTGTGAAATACGTCCAATAGGTGCGTAAAATTACCGGGGTTGTAAACATATCACTGTACTATCGTGAAAAGATTGAGATATACCCTCTCACACCCACAATTCCCAACCCCCAATTATCAACCCGTCCAAAAAATTTTCTAAAAATGACCAGGAGCATCTGAAACGACAAAGGGCAAGGTTTGACCGATTTTGATTTTATTTCGCTTTTTTATGTTAGCTCTACCGCCTCTGGACCGATTTCAAAATCTATCAATGGTTTTTTCATCCATGGCATAATAGTAAAATTGTGAGAAAATTTTATCAAAACCCGAGCGGTACTTTCCAAGTTATAGCGGACAGACCGACAGGTCGACGTAAATCAATGACATTGTTTTTCGAGACTTTTTATATGAGCTGGAAGAGAATAGGCCCAAAAAACAGTGAATATCAAACTGATAAAATAACTTTTAAATCTTGTTATTTGATAAATATAGTGACAATAATATAATAGCAGTAATTTCCGTATTATGCTCAACTAGGTATTATATGATCTTAGCCGAGAATCTGCAGATCACAGTTATTCAGAAAAACCGAGTAGAATTCAAGCAAGGTGTCCCGCTATTTCCAATATCAGTTATTCTACCATTGCTACCATTAAGTAGAATTTTGTTCATGTGCTATAACTGTTAGTAAATATTTACTTTAGTTTTTTGCCTTATTTAATTTATCCCTGCCTATTTACAATAACAGAGCGATTCACATCTGAACACAAATAGTATTTCTGGCCTGCTAAACGTGATCAGCTTCTTTTGGTAGGCAAAAGTATTCACTAAAACTAATTTTGGTGACAAACAATGCTGTGTAAACATATAGCTTTTCCTTTTCTTTCTAACCCATTCAATTTTCCACTTTTCACTGGTCGATTCTGGTAATAGATGGCGCTTTGCGCTGTCTTATTTCGATAGATCTCATAATTTGGGTAGAGGATAGTTGCTATGCTTTCGCTCGTTGTCCGTCTGAGACTAAGCCTAGTCCATGCTGATGAGTAGCCAAAAAGCACAAAAGAGCTATCCGTAGTTGGTTGTCTTTAGTCGGACGGACGAGAGCGAGAGCAGCATATTGATTATTCTGAATCGTCACCGGACAGACGTAATGTATCCTGAATTATCTTTATATCACCGAGTGATGTCGCTTGTCATTATTTTTTAAAATAACACCAATAAACTAGTTTTGACCTACATTTAACTCATGTGGTATAGATTGTATTGAAGTGTTTTGTATCTACCTAAGTTTGGTGAGATCCTGCTCATGCTTAGTGAGCTTGATCTGACTTTCTAAATCTGGCAGATGCCTGTTGATGGATAGCACTGCACTAGAATAGTTTACGTGGTGGGTAAACTTGCATTTGAAGTCTTCTGGTGGGCCACAGTGGAAGAGGTAACAGCTTCCAGAATTCTGAAAAAAGGGAAAAGTTGGTATGCTGCATAACTTTACTAGTATGGAAAAAGGTTTCAAGTAAGTTGACTCTTCACTTCCTACGCAACGCTGTCATCCTAAAGATTTATATTCGACACAAGTTACTCCCTCTTAGAAAAAAAAATAGCCTCCAACATGTATAACAAAGAAATTAAGTGGATCAAGTCAGTCAAACAGGCATCGTCTCCACAGATTTGACAACACTGCGATTTAGCCTACCGCCCTCTCAACAGTACCGACCAACCAGAAATTTGGCATCTCTGGCACTAGCAAAACCAGCACGTCGTTGCATACATGGATACACCGATACACGCATCATCTATGAGTTATCCCTTAGCATTCGAATCAGATGTACGCTTATTGAGCTGCCCGGCACTCGTGTATCGAAAAATTAACTCAAGTTTTAATGTTAAATGTACATTGAAATCTATGAAGCACCAAAATATTGACATTATACTCTCCCACCTCCCACAATTCCAAACATGCAATTTTTAACCCCTGCATTTTTTTGTCTGAAAAAGATTAGGTTCCTCAACAACGTCAAGTTTGAGCGATTTTAATTTGTTTCGTTTGGGCGGCACCTCACAAGTTATAGACGTGCCAAGAATTAGCGGACAGACTGACCGACGACCGACAGACAGACTAACGGAAATAAGTGTTATGGTTTTTCTAGAGGTACAGGGTGGCCAACTAAGAATGCGAGGTACTGTATCCGGGAACCTATCCAGCGTGCAAGCTTGTAAGCAAAAACAGTTATCACTAAAACGGCCAAAAGAAAAACCTGGAAAATATTTTCAAGTTTCTGAAATGGCTGCTAAGGGGCGTAACCGGAATCTTGAAACTAAAGAAGTAATGTTTCTGTAAATTCCGCTATAATAACATAATAACAAAATACCTGATCTTTAAATTCGAGGACGATCTGAACCTTTTTTGTTTGAAAATTTTTGCTATATCTCTGAAAATAAAGTGGTGGGGGGTATTCAAAGGTTGCTTCGAAACGGCTGAGCCAATTTTAACAAACTTGGGCTAGTTGAAAGGAGCTATTCTTGGGCTATGAATGTTATAATATTTGAAGTTTCGTTAGTTCCACATGTGGCTGCGAGAGGGCTTTTTTCGACATTCCGATAGAAACGGTTAATTTTCTCAAAAAATTAAATGCATCGGTATAATTTTTTTTTATGAAAAAGTACCTAATTAATTTCTAAACAAGCTCCCGAGAACCGCATCTCGATATCTTGCTTCTAACATAAAATTTGACCCAAAGAAAGTCTTTATTTTGTTTAAAATAATTTTCCTGAAATTTCTTTTTATTATTAAGTTGTGGCCCTGAAAAAGGACCGATTAAAAAAAAGGTTTCTAATGCCCCCGTAAATGCTCGAAATGCTGACCATCACGCTCTATAGCTCTATGCATTCCTGAAGCCTTTCATGGGTAGACAAAACTGCAGCTTCAATTTCGGCTCTCAGTATGTTACGTATTGCATTACGAATTCTCCTTCACGCTAATGCAAACCAAATGACCTACATTTATTCTACTTCCATGCAGGGTTTGCTTAGTTTTAAAATTAACAATAACAGTTGAAAGTTGCAAGATGGCGCCCCTCCCCCAAGAAGGCTTTTATAACGATTTTTTATCGTTCATCTCTATACTTCAAAAAAGCATCCGATATACAGGGTGTAAACGTTATGGTAGTCATTATTGAAATGGGTAATAGGGGGGTTAAAACAAGTCAAAAAGTTCATATGACCCATGGTCCAAAAGTCAATGGATTTTTGTCTAAATGGCTTTATAGTTTACAACTTTAAGTGCTTTATATCGACCACAATCACCACAATCTGACTAATTTTTATAATAAAATCTAAAACGTTTTTAAATTGGGTAATTAACAAATAAATTGTAGTCAGTAAGTAAGTAAGTTTTATTAAATTAAATATTTAAACACACATGACAACAGCGCGTCGGTCTTTCATCACTATTATCGAACCGGCAATCGTCCGCAAACGGTAACAGTGGTTAGTTACCGTTTTGCATAGATAAATTACTTTATCGTTTTGTCGAGCAGAGCATTGGGCGTGTTGTTTTGTTTTTGTTCGCGTACGTCGTCGTGTTTATTTACAATGTTCTCAAATCAAGAGTTCGCCGACATGTTGTTAGTTTACGGTGAAGCTCGTCAGAATTCAAATCTTGCAGCTCAAATTTATCGCGACAGATTTCGCCAACGAGTACACCCAGACAGAAGGACATTTGTGCAAGTGTACCAAAGACTTCGAGATACAGGAAGTGTTCAGCCCACTAATATTCGCACTCGTGAAAGACAGGTTACTGTAGAGCAGGAGGAACAAATTTTAAATATCGTGGAAATCAATGCAGAACTAGGCCGCCGCGTAGGACCATCGCATACCATAGTCCATAGAATCCTACGGGAAAATTTGCTTTATCCCTACCATGTACGAGTGCAGGCCTTGTTACCAGAAGACTATCCTCGCAGACTAACATTCTGTCAGTGGTTTTTGCACAAAAAATCCGGATTTTTTTAAAAACATTCTAGCGACAGACGAATGTACTTTTAGGCGAGACGGGATATTAAATTTCCATAATACTCACACATGGGCCCAAGAAAATCCTCATACCATTCGTGAAGGTAATTTCCTACAATGTTTTAAAATCAATATTTGGGCGGGTATTCTTGACGATCAGGTAATTGGCTCTTTCGAGTTACCCCAAAGTTGTCAGGAGAAGGACACCTTAGCTTTCTAGCTAATAACCTACCAGAACTTTTGGAACAGACCTTAGACAACATGTCATTACAACGGAGACAGAATTTGTGGTTTCTTCATGACGGGGCACCACCATACATTTTTAGAGGCGTCACTCAGTAGTTGAATGAACATTATCCAAATCGCTGGATCGGTCGAAATGCTCCTGATCCTCGAAAATAGCCAGCAAGATCTCCTGACCTCAATCCGATGGATTTCTGGTATAGGGGAGAACTTAAAGTGATGGTTTATGGGGCTGGTCCAATAACAACTGAAGCATAACTTCGCAAAAAACTTTTTAATGCGGCTGAAATAATAAATGGACAACTTCGAGGACCTAGAGTAAGAAGAAACTGGGTTCGTCGTAATGAAGCTTGTGTCGAAAGTGGAGGACGACATTTTGAACACCTTCTTTAAATACTAAAAAGTGCAGTGTGGGTTTTAAAAAGAAAAACAATGTATGTATCAAAATTGTGTTTATAAGTGGATTTTTTTAATACGTTCAATAAACTTTCACGCACCAGGTGAAGCGCTGAGACAGTGGTAAGTCCGTTGTTTTTATTGTTAGCATTTTACGAGTACATTATCAAATAATGAAATAATACCTAAGAGCCGAAAATAACAAACTCCATCTTTATTTACACTGCGTTCCGTCGTAATTTGCGTCTGGCATTACGGCGTTGTCAGATTTTATTTTACTTTAAAGTCGCTTCTCTCTAAAAATTGCCGTTTTAACCCCGTCTATCACCCATTCAAATAATGACTATCATAACGTTCACAACCTGTATTTTTGCTTATTCTCATTTAATAAAATATCGTCTACGCTACTGATAAATAACGGTTGATCACATGTGAGAATGGACGCTGAACTGCATCTAGCAGCCTTATCAAGATATGCTCTCAGTTTACATTTGCGTACGACTAGCGTAGTCTAAATTTATAGTAATTTGCAAACTTTGAACCGTGAAGTGACATAAATATCCTAGTATCTAGTGAATAAACTTATTAAATTATCTCGGGTTGTCACGCGTATCAGTAAAATTGTGAGAAAGTTTCAAGTATTCCGTGATTAAAGCAACGAATTCCTATAGGTTAGAACGAGCCAAGCTATATGATTTCAATGCATTGTTTGTAGCAAAAGTTGTGTAGCTTCAGCTTTTGACTCATTTATCTACCATTGCCTAGCAAAGTGACAAGCCAATACATCGGCATATATTTTTTCTCTGGAGAGGTATTCAAGTAGACCAATCAGACTGGATGCACTTACGTTAAGCATGGCAGAAATTCTGTGTTGCGAAGTGGATTGCTCAGTTACTGTTAATAAACAGAGATAAATTAGATAAGTAAAAAAAGAAAGTAAATATTTATTAAATACGTTAAACAAAAGTAAATATTTCTTAACCGTATTGAACATGACTAATTTTACCTAATTCGTGGTTTTGGAAGGTGAAAAATACAAAAAATAGTCTTCATCAAACAACAGCAATAGCAGAATACCTGATGTTGGAAACAATGGGAGACCTTGCTTGAATTCTACTCGGTTTTTCTAAATAGTTGTAATTCGACGGGATATTTTTGGCTAAAAGCAAATACATACCTAGTTGAGCATAAAATGGAAACTACTGCTATCATAACATTGCCACTATATTTATCCATTAAAAGATTAGGAAGTAATTTAATTAATTTGATATTCAGATTTTTTGAGACCTACTTAGCTTCCTCACTAGAATCTCAATATCTCAATGAAATGGGAACGTAAAGTTACTATGTATTTATAAAGTGAAAGACCCTTCCTAAAAACTTTCAAATTCAAAACTAAAGTGGATAAGACTCAAAGTAAAAGTTTCAGTTGGACCTTTTCGGTGTCCATCAAAATATTTAGTTTGTCTCCTATACTTTTTGTCATTTTTCAATGTTATTGTTAAGTATTGTTAACAAACCTTAGACTCAGGCTGAGCACTCAGATCCAAGAAGTGGACTGAAATCAAAATTACTTCAAAACTGTCTAGGTAAAACCCCAAGAACATACATGCCCTTTTGCAGCGCCGATGACTATGACATTTCAACACTCATCGATCGATTATTCAGTTCAACTGGCTTTTTACATTCCACAGAAACCTCCACCATTTTTGACCATTGTCTGGAGCACTAGGACTTTATGAAACC